TTCAAATCTCATTATTATTCATTCCACACCAGGTACTGCTCTATTTTACAAGCAAAAAGTGAAAATGGTCCACGTAAGCACATTTTGGAATTGGTGGATTAGAATTTAAATGATGGTCGTGTTGGTCATTTGGCATTCCACTTTGCCACTGATTTTAACATCACTTTTTACTCATGCAACAGAACATGGAAATCCATTAAAATAAGATCCAGCGTTCAAAATCTCAGCGTCTGTTTGCTGTGGACTATGTCTATGGTTAGTAGCTTCTGTGTCGTCAATCGGCCCCTTGTTCATTCAAGTTGAAGGCTTGCTTGATTGCAGGCCTGTCAGGTAATTTATTGCACTCAAGAAGCCGACCATAACGAGTGAAATATGCCATCAATGACGTGTTGGCTTCCAAGAAACCTCCATGTAATATTTTACCCTTTAAAGAAGTGCCTAGACGAATATAGGTGTGATTACGTATTTACTGTTTTCTAGTGCAGATATCGAAAATTAAGATGTGAATTTGTATTTAAACATCTTCAGGTTGTACCTTACGAGTTGTTTTTATAAGAAAGGCCAAAAAGCCACTCTTACGTGTGTGGTTTATGTTCACTTCCAGTGTAGACTGTGCCTAGTCATTTATTATTTTTTTAGCCCTAACAGTCCAAAATCCTCCAATTTCAATACGATTTTACATACTCTTTGGGGGTTAGGGTTAATTAAAGGAATATTTGAATCCTTTATTGTAACTGACGCGTTCAGTCTACCATGTTTGTGGTTAACCCAACACCAAACATTTAATAACTAGCTGCTTCTGTGTGTTCCAATAAAATATTTTGCGAGTCATTCATAAAAAGCACCTGTGTACTGAAGAACCGGATAAATACTAAACGTTTTAGTTTAATTTCAAAACGGATGACTCCTGGAGCCTAACAGATCTCTGCTATAGGAAGATTTAATATTTTGGAATGGTTTGTGATCATATGTATCGGGGTCACGAAAGCCAATCCTGTCATTAAGAACCGGTTCCGTGGATTTAAATTTAGAAGTTGACCCTAAGATTAAAACTAAAATATACATTGTTGATTTTGTTTGGTCAAATTTGTAAAATAAGCGATAGCTTGTTCTGAAATAGTAACCGAAAGTGTGAGAGCTGTCTTGATTCAAGAGATTCAGTGAGGTCCAATAAGCTTTACAAATTGTCTCCGGTTTCTTGGTTTGGAATGAAAACGAGATAGGTAGAATAGGTCAGTTGTCTACTTGAAGACGTCGGCAACTTCTTAGAGGGATGCAGGAAGGGGTTAGTTTACATGTTGAATTGTCCTTGGTTGGACTGAAGCATCTTGCTTTCTGCTAAGGTTAACGTCGGAGGCAATAAAGCAAAAATTCACTTGTGGGCAAAATTATTGACCAAATTCTGTTCCGCTCAGTTCATGTAGTTCCCAACTACATGAACTGAAGCCCCAAAGCTTGAATGTACGCGTATTTTGTCAAGTTAAGTTTTTGTAAATTTAACTTTAAAAAACCCAAAAAAGTCTTCCAAATTCAATTATAAAGTAACAGTGCATGTATGACGTGATATTTCAAACAACGAGCTTCGTCAGTGATATGAATATTATCCAACTAGAGGTTTGAATTTCTACTTTAGACTTCCCCTCCCTCGATTTCGAAAGGGAATCATATGAACAGGCCGATACTTGAAGTTAAACAGCATGATAATTATTTTTTATCAAACTTCGCTTGCGTGAAATATAAACAAGAGTGCTGTATTGTTATCTGGTAAAAGTAAACTGGCTAACCTGACACATTAAATTTAACTTTGGAACAATCAACTACTACATGGTCCCTTTTTAACACTTGCTTGATAGATCTACGCCCTCCCATCCTATTTTAGAGTTAATGACATCATGCTAGGTGAAAACACAACCAAGCATGTGAAAACACAATCCGATCCATCAGAAATTCATAGCATGTACATTGTACTCATTGTTATCAAAGGCATACAGGTCTTCTCCGAAGCGAAAGCCTCGATAAA